AAATAGATCTCTCAGATGTAAGACAATTTAATATCATGAGTAGAAATCAACTATCTTTCTCTTATAATTGGTTGTTATGGAAAACTGTGAACTCTTCAGTATAGTTAAAAAAAGGAAATGTTCTTAGTTTATACTAGTTATCAAAGCAGTGGAAGAAGATGGGAAGCTAACTCTGAGAAGGGGATATCTTTAGTAAATATGACTAAGGGATTATGACTTTTGTTGGCCACAGTGAATTGCCACAATCCAATGATTCAGGCAATTGTTTTTGCTAAGATGGTTGGAAATAAGGTCATTTCTTTTGGGCATATTTTTTAATGTCAGCCTCTACTAACCAAAGGAAAAGTGTCGTAAAAAATAGATGAAGAAACACATTTTAATCTAATGAATCATATCCTAAAAAATGACAAGCAAGTAGAGACATAATAGATTTCCTATAGTTGAAATTACTAGTTATTTGCATAATCCCAACATTTATCTGTTAAAAAACAATATGTATACACATATTTTTTGTTTCAAAGAAGAACAGCAGGAAAAATAGCCATAGAGTGAAAATTCATAGGTCTGACAAAAATTATATATGATAAAGTATATTTATGTTGAATAAATCCCAAATTTACTTTTTCTTCATTTAAAGTTTGAATATAGAACTGCTTCTTAGTTTTATGTCAACTTTTGAATAAATGAGTCATAAGAAATAAAGCTATTGGTTGATAACAGAAAATATAATAACAGTAATCACATTTTGACATTTCTATTGCACCTTTCACCTTGATAAAAATCTAAGGCAATTAACCTGAAAGTCATTTCTGTACTCAGAATTTGCAAGCTCCAACTGAATCCAGTTACTTCTAAGTTACCTCAAAGTGTAAGCAGAACATCCACAGCCCTGTTGGCCTGTCAACCTACATGAATGGCACTTGCTACCAACAGACCTCTGAGGCCAGGTGAATCTATATGGACCCTTAAATAATGGCCAGTAAGTCAAAAAGCTAATATCATTTCATATCAAGTAATGAATTATACAACTTCACTGTCATTATATGTCAAGGCTAGGCATGCCAGTCATTAAGCAGTTAATCTGTCAACCCAACAGAATATTAGTAGCTTAAGTTTTAAGGACATTTCTACATTGTATAATTTAAATTCCCACCAGGTACAGGAAACAAATTTTGCAACATTTTTGTCTTATCAACCCACTGTGTTAACATCTTCAGTAGACAGGCAATTCTAAGTGTCAGGAGATTATCTACTGTTGTCTGAAGGGTTAACCTTAGATGCCTATTTTTTTATGTTGCTAAACACATGTAAGACTTTCTAAGCCTTAAATCTGATGAACAAAAAATTATATACTAAAGGTACTAGAGGTTAAAAACCTCTTGAGTTTTTAATAGAGTTAAAAACACTATTCTAAATGTTAGAATATAGCTTCGCAGCACAGTGGTGGCATAAAGGAAGGAAAAAACCATTCTACTTGAGTGAAGAGTAGATCAGAAAGGGCTTCACGGACATAATGTTTTATGGACAAAATGTTATGCCAAAAATAGTAAGTAATAAAACTGTATTTACATTATTACCTTAAGTTACATTTTAAAAATGAACATTTACATTATTACCTTGTTACATTTAAAAAATGAATTTTTTCTTTACGTAACTTAGGTAGTAAGTTACGTAAAGAAAAAGGAGGCTGAAGGAGGCCAGTGTATTAAACATGGTGCCTCTGCAGGCTGGAATGATGGTGTTTGGTTTTGCTTTGCTTGGCTTTACATAGTCAGGGGATCATATAAAACTTGTTACTCAGGGGAAAAAGTCAAAACAACAGCAAAATGTGTGACACCTAGAATAAAGCACATTGAGTCTACTTGAGGAAGAAGATGATTTTTTTTCATAATCACCCCTCTCCTATTTTAATTAGCTAGCTTCAGAAAAGAGAGTCTTTTCAAGAGAAAAGGTAAAGAATCCTAAATGGATCTACCACAGAGACAAACTTAATAATTCTACTACCTCTACAACAGTTAGATAACATTCACTGTGTGACAGCTGAGTATATATCGGCTTCTAAACTCTAGCATGCAGGCACATAAAACAGTATTTGCATTAACACACTCTTTATGAAATGAATTTGAAAGACTTTTCCGAGTTGTCCTGAAAAAAAAAAAAAAAAAAGCAGCCTCCCACAGCTGGCTTCTCTATTTTTGGCTTCTCCTATCCCTGTTTTCATGGCAGCTGAGAAATATTAATGTGAGAAAAGTATCTTTTATTTCAGTCTTTAAAAAAGAACTCAACAGAAAACCCTGCAACTTCAGCAGTAGAGGATAAGAGTTCCAAGATCACACTGTGGAAGTACATTATTGAAATAACCTGTAGGAAAAAGAACATAATATAAAATAATAGGCTCCTCTTACATGTGACATACCCGAAGCTTATGCTGTTTACATAGAATGCATAAACAAACATATTTCACCAAAAGTTAATATGTCCCCTACGAATAATTATAAAAAATAGTTGTATAATCAATCTCATATAGAGAAAAGACACAGTAGAAGAAAAAAGATTTGTCTGATACACCACCATTCAACAGAAACAAGTGATGAACAGATCTATTTGAAGATTAGAGAAACATTTAGCTTTATGAGAAACTTTCCTCCTGACCTTTCCTATAATGCATGCATACATATAAAATCAAATGCTTCATTACATTAATCTAGAAAAAAAGTACCTGTCACATTTGATTCAGCAAACTGGCTTTAAAATAAATACAGAATTGTAGTCCCACATTTGAAAGAGTAATGACAAGTTACTTGAGTTTTATTGACTCAATCAGATCATATGGTGAGTCATTTCCAGACATATCGATAAACTCATTGATTCCTCTCATTCTTGTAGTCACTGGACTATAGAAAAAAGGATCAGTAGCCATTTGACCTTCATTGTGTATTAAACAAACACCAGATGGCAAGGATTCATTCAGGAAATCCATTCTTTCTTCTTCATAGTCATGTTCACACTGTTGCTTCCCACTGAGTCTTTGTATCTGTTTGTCATGGTGCCAGAGCTGCCTGCATAGCACCTTTCATGCATCACAGCTTTCAAATCTTGTCCCATTAGTTTCATTTTGTTTCCATCATAAATAATCTTCCACTTTCTCATACACTCTTTCATTATCTAATAATGGGCTGGGTCATTATACAAAGGAGCCAAGTATTAAAGGGTTAGTGAATACAGTTTGTCCACTTGGTTTCTGGCCAGTGTGTGAACTATTTATTAAACAGATGAATTTATGCAACTAAAAAAGGAGAGACCTAAAGAATACAAACATCCTCATCCTGCTAACAAGTTTTCAGGAACACTAGACATTAAAATGAGGACATTTTTAATCTTAAAATTGGAAACTTTAAAGCACTATACCATGAGCATTAATGTAATTCAACATAATTATTTCAAGAAACACACAAAAGCAAATATGCTATCCACTGAAACATTCCATCACTATTTCTCTCCTTGGCCATTCCCTAGTCTCATTTGGACATCAGCCAGCCATCTAGAAGTGTTGAAATCCTGGTAAGCATTAACAAGCCAAGTGACTCCATTCTAAGGACATTATCTTGTGAGTAAATTTCACAGAGTCCAAGAAGGGAGGCTTGTATTTTTGGACAATGTTGTATACAGGCAAAATAAGAAAGCTGGACGTTATGCAAGATTTATTGCTGACACTGCAAAGTTTAGTACCAACAATGAGTGCTCTCTGGTCTCAGCAGACTGGTTCTTCAGTGTTCATGGGAAGTTAAATGTTGAGCAAATGAACTATTCTCACAGCTAAAACCAGATTCTGCCCATATTTAAGGAAAAGTTAAGAAGTTTAGAATGCAACGTATAGGATTCTGTGAATATGTCAGCACTGAGTTAAGTCATACCAGACTATTATTCTTATAGGCAGGCCAATTATCAGGGGATAATTAGACTGATAATGAGCATTCTGACTGGCTGAGAGGTTCCTCTGAGGCTAGAGCACCCCCTGCCCTTATAAGGCTGTCCTCTGTGCCAAGAATGGTATGTTATAAATGGGACTTTTAAAATGTCCTTTTTTTTGGAAAAACAAGTTTACACTGATTAAAAATAAGGTATTGAATTCTAAACTTACTTTTTAAATAATGAAACCCCTGTTTCATACAGCTATTTAGTAAAATACAATAGAGGTAATTCAAATACTTTGGGTTTTTTTGTAAAATATTTCTATTATATGAAAGTATTTCAACTATATCTAGAAAAAGGATAAAGACCCACTGATGATCCCATCTTCCTAATGAGCCAATTTAATAATTTGGAGTTTGCAATACATTTTAATGCAAAGTCTGCTGTAGCATTTGTATAAGCAAGTTTTGTATTAGGTACCGTTATATGTTAAAGTAAACTCATCATATGCCAACATATTTAATTAAATATTTTCTGCCTAGAATCCTCTTTTCTTCCTTCTTCCAGTAGCTAACTTCTACTTAGTCTTTGACTCCAGCTTAACTTTCACTTTCTGAGGGACAGCATTTGACTTCCCTAAACCAAATTCTTATTATGCACTCTTATACACTGCCTCTTCTTAGCCCTTATCATTGTTTGTGATTATTTGATTAATGTTCATCTCTCCCAACCAATAATAACCTTCATAAGGGCAAAGTGATTCCTCCTTTGCTTAATATTATATTCCAGAAGATGATCGGGCGCATAATAGGTGCTCAATAAATAATCGTTGAGTGAATGAAGAAATGAACATTTTCTACATTCTTCCAGACTGTGGTACGTGAAGAAAGAAGAGAAAATGGTTTGTGTACTGCTCTATCAATAAGAGTACATGTAGCTAAGGATGACATTTGCCCTGATTCCATCACCTCAGCGCTCTGCACTTTTATGTCATTGGTCAACCAGCCCTAACCTAGAAGAAAGTAACAGAGCTGCAATCATGTAAATGACAGTATAGGAAGAAAAAATGAGAAAACAAGTAGAGAAAAATAAATTGCTTAAAGCTCCCAGTAGAAATTGTTGTTAATTGTTTAATGTGCTTTTCTTTGAATGGAAGAAACTTCTTCAAGGCTTTAAGGATGACTTCTGGTTTCATATATAGCTCCTCAGGTTAGAAAGCTTAGAAATCTGAAAACTACATTAAAAGCAACTCATCATATACTGCTTCAGTCCACTGAGTTCAAACCACAGAATAAAAATGACCAACCATTTCCAACCTAAACCATAAATCACAAATGTTATCTCATATGTCAACTTAAATTTTTATTAAAATCTGCTCAATTTATTACCAACATTTACAAACTTCATCATGTGGTTCAATTTTATCTCAATTGCTAATATGATCTGAAATATCTTGGTTTATGGTGTAGAAATTTCATTTTTTAAAGAACTCACAATTTCCTATTGTCTTTTATTATATAAATTGGAAATTCAATTGTAAATCCATATGTAAATAGTGTTTACTGAAAACATCTATAAAATTTTATGTTCTATGGGAAAGTATGTTTAAAAGTCTGAAAAATTAAGTTATTTCATTGACCCTTTTTTCATTCACAGGAATATTATTTAGAAAGGCCACAGCATTTAATTTTTTAACTAATAAACTACATTTTAGGGAAGTTTTAGGTTAGAGAAAAATTGAGAATTACAGAGTTTTCACACACTATCAACATTCCATACCACAGTAGTACATTTATCATTCAAAGTTCATAGTTTGTATGAGGGTTTCCTCTTGGTGCTATACATTCTAGTTTTGACAAATATATAATAACATGTATTTACCATTGCAGTTACATACGGAATAGTTTTACTGCTCTAAAAATCTTCCATGCTTTGCCTATTCATCCCTACCTCTCCCCTAAACCCTGACAACCACTTTTATGTTTACTGTCTCCATAGTTTTTCCTTTTCCAGAATGGCATACAGTTTGGATTATACAGTATGTTAGTCTTTTAAGACTGACTTCTTTCACTTAATAATATATATATATATATTTTTTCATTTATTGCTCTTTTATTGAATGATGGATTATTGAATAGGTTTTTAAGGAATAGGTTGTATTTGGTTACATGAATAAGTTCTTTAGTGGTGACTTCTGAGAGTTTGGTGCACCCATCACCTGAGCAGAGTACACTGTACTCACTGTGTAGTCTTTTATCCTTCACCCACCTTGCATCCTTTCCCGGAGTCCCCAAAGTCCATTGCATCATTCTTATTCCTTTGCATTCTCATAGCTTAGCTCTCACTTATGGGTGAGAACATATGATTTTTTGGTTTTCCATTCCTGAGTTACTTCGCTTAGAATAATGATCTCCAGTTCCATCCAGGTTTCTGGGAATGCCATTATTCTATTCCTTTTTATGGCCGAGTACTATTCCATGATATCTATCTATCTATCTATCTATCTATCTATCTATCACAATTTCTTTTTTTTTTTTTAATTTTTTATTGGATTATAGGTTTTGGGGTACATGAGCAGAGCATGCAAGACAGTTGCGTAGGTACACACATGGCAGTGTGCTTTGCTTTTCTTCTCCCCTTCACCCACATTTGGCATTTCTCCCCAGGCTATCCCTCCCCACCTCCCCCTCCCACTGGCCCTCCCCTTTTCCCCCCAATAGACCCCAGTGTTTAGTACTCCCCTTTCTGTGTCCATGTGTTCTCATTTTTCATCACCCACCTATGAGTGAGAATATGCGGTGTTTCATTTTCTGTTCTTGTGTCAGTTTGCTGAGGATGATGTTCTCCAGATTCATCCATGTCCCTACAAACGACACGAACTCATCATTTCTGATTGCTGCATAATATTCCATGGTGTATATGTGCCACATTTTTCCAATCCAGTCTATTATCAATGGGCATAAGGAACACTTTTACACTGTTGGTGGGAGTGTAAATTAGTTCAACCATTGTGGAAGACAGTGTGGCGATTCCTCAAGGCCTTAGAAATAGAAATTCCATTTGACCCAGCAATCCCATTACTGGGTATATATCCAAAAGACTATAAATCGTTCTACTATAAGGACACATGTACACGAATGTTCATTGCAGCACTGTTTACAATAGCAAAGACCTGGAATAATATATATTTAAGTTCCCTCCATGCTTTTTCATGGCATGATAATTTTTTTTAAGCACTGAGAAATATTCCATTATCTGAATCCACTACAGTTTATTTATCCATTCACCTAGTAAAGGACATCTTTGTTGCTTTCAAGTTTTGACAATTATGAGTAAAGCTTTAAAAAACATGCATGTGCAGGCTTTTGTGTTAAAATAAAGTTTCATTCGTTAGGTAAATATCAAGGAGCACCATTGCTGGATTGTATGGTAAGAGTCTGATTTGTTTTGTGGGAAACTGCCAAACTGTCTTCAAAGTTACATTGAATTCTCATTAGCCATAACTGAGAATTTTTTTGCTCTATATCCTCACTAACCTTTGGTATTGTCAGTGTTTTAGATTTTGGTCATCCTAATAAGTGTATGGTGGCATTGTTGTTTAAATATGATGTCAAACATCTTTTCATGTGGTTACTTGCCATCTGCATATCTTCTTTGGTGAGAATTTGTTCAAGACTTTTGTCCAATTTTATTCAGGTTATTTTCTTATTGTTGAGTTTTCAGTGTTCTTAGTATATTTTGGATAACAGATATTTATCAGATTTGTCTTTTGCAAACATTTTTCTCCAAGTCTTTAGTTTGGCTTATTCTCTTCATATTAGATTTCATAGAGCAGAAGTTTTGAATTTTAGTTTTGTAGTTTTGCATTTTACATTTGGGTCTATGATTCATTCTGAGCTAATTTTTGCAAAGGATTTAAGATCCATATCTAGATTTTTTTTGCATGTGCATGTTTAGTTGTTCCACCCCTGTTTGTTGAAATGTCCATCTTTGCCTGATTGTGTTTCCTTTGATCCTCTGTTAAATATTAGTTGACTATATTAATATGGGTCTATTTCTGAGCTCTGTTCTGTTACATTGATCTATTTGTATATTCTTTCACCTATGACACTGTCTTAATTAGTGTAGCAAGTATTGTGTCACCAGAGTGTTAGTTCTCTGACTTTGTTCTTCCTCTTCAATATTGAGTTAATTATTCTGGGTCTTTTGCCTTTTAATATAAACTTTAAGAACAGTTTGTCAATATCAGAAAAAACTTAGTGAGATTGTGCTGGGATTGCATTGCATCTACAGATCAGGTTGGGAAGAACTGACATTGTGACTATAGGTAGCCTTCCTGTCCATGGACATGGACTGTCTCTTCATTTATTTAGATGTTTTGTTGTATTGTTCATCTGTGTTTTGGTTTTATTTCATAGAGGTCTTGCACATATTTTGTTAGGTTTATACTTACGCATTTCACTTTTTAGTGATAATCTAAATGGTAGTGTGTTTTAAATTATAAAGTTCACTTTTTATTACTGGTATATAAAAGTGATTGACTTTTATGTACTAAACTTTTATCATGCACCTTTGATAAAATTGTTTATTTGTTCCAAGAAACTTTTTGTCATTTAAAAAAAGAATTCTACATAGGCAATCATGTCATTTGCAAACAAAGACAGTTTTGCTTCTTCTTTCTTTTTCTGTGCACTTTTTTCTTTTCTTTTCATCTTATTGCAATAATTAGGACTTCCACTATAATGTTGAAAAGCAGTGGTGAGAGGTGATGTCTTGTTGTGTTGCTTACCTAAGTGGGAAAGCCTTGAGTTTCTTACTATTAAGTATTATGTTAGCTGTATATTTTTCTATATGCATTTTTAAAATCAAGTAAGGAAGTTCTCTCTATTCCTAGCTTTCCAAGAGATCTTAACATTAATGGAAGTTGAATTTTTGTCAGATGACTTTTTGAAATTATTAATATGACCACATGATTTTTATTCTTTAGTTTTTGATGTAATTGATTACATTAACTGATTTTCAAAAGCTGAATAAGCTTTGCATACTTGAATAAGTCCCACTTGGTCATGGTGTGCAATTCTTTTTAAATATATTGCATTGGATTTGCTAATGTATTTTGAGGATTTTTACATCTATGTTCATGAGAGATATTGATCTAAAGTTTTCTTTACTCATAATGCCTTTGTCTGCTTTTGGTGTTCAGGCAATTTTGGCCTTATGGAATTAGTTTGTAAGTATTCCCTTTGCTTACACCTTCTGGAATAAATTGTAGAGAATTTGCTTAATTTTTTTTCCAAATGTTTGGTATAATTCAACAGTAAACCCAACTGCGATTGGTGCTTTCTGTTTTGTAGGAATACTAATTATGGATTCTGCTTTTTAAATAGGTACAAGACACTTTATATTGTCTAATTTTCACTTTGTGAACTTTGGCAGGTATATCTTTTAAGAAATTTGTTCATTTTATTTAAGTTATCAAATTTATGGGCATAGAATTGTCCATAATATGACTTGATTACCTTTTTAATATCAATTGTATCTAAGGTGATACAATTACCTTAGTACCATTTTGTGTCTTTTCTCTTTTTTCCATAAGCAACCTGGCTCGAGGCTTATCAATATTATTGATCTTGTCAAAGAGTCAGTTTTCGGTCTCACTGACTTTTTTCTACTGATTTCCTATCTGCGATTTTATTGATTATTGCTCTGATTTTTGTTTCCTTTCTCTTGCTCACTTTGGATTTAATTTGCTCTTTTTTCTTAATATTTTAAGGTGGAAGCTTAGATATTGACATTAAATCTTTCTTCTTTTCTATTATACACATTCTATGCTATAAATTTGCCTCCAAGTGCTGCTTTTTCTACATTCCACACATTTTGATGAGTTGCATTTTTATTTTAATTTACTTTAAAATATGCTGTAATTATCTTGAGATTTTGTTTGAGCCAATTATTATTTAGAAATGCCTTATTTAGTATCCAAATATTTTGGGATTTTCCAGCTTTATTTCTGTAATCTATTTTTAGTTTGATTCCACCGTGGTCTCAGAGCAGACATTGCATAATTCTTGTTCTTCAAAATTTGTTAATACATGTTTTATGGCTCAGAATGTGGTTTATCTTGGTGAATGTTTCATATACTCTTGAGAAGAGTGTGTACTCTGCTGTTGTTGAGTGAAAAACTCTATAGATGTTATTTATGTCTAGTTGATTGATGGTGTTGTTAAATTCAAGTATATCTTTATTGATTTTCTGCTCGATTGATTTGTCCATTGATAGATTTATAATAGATATGTGTTAAAATTTCCTACTATACTAGTGTATTCAACTATTTCTCCTTGATGTTTTATCTGTTCTTTCTTCCTGTGTTTTGACACGCCATTACTAGTCACGTACACACTAAGGACTGTTATGTTTTCTTGGAGTATTTTTCCCTTTATCATTATTTAATGCCCTTATTTATCCCTGATACCTTTCCTTGCTCTAAAGTCTGCTCTATCTAAAATTAATATAACTATTCTAACTTTCTTTTGATTAGTGTTCGCATGGTATATCTTTCTCCTTCCCTTTACTTTTAATGTATATGAATCTTTATATTTATAATGAGTTCTTTTTTGGCAATCTATGTTAGGTCTTGATTTTTGATACACTATTACTATCTTAGTCTTTTAACTGATGTATTTAGACTCCTGATTTTTAAAGTAACTATTTATATAGTTTGATTAATACCTACTATATTTGTTTCTGTTTTCTGTATTTATTGTCTTTGTTTTTATTTTTGTCTTCTATACTTTTTCTTTCCTTTATAGGGTTAATTGAACATTTTATTTGATTTTATTTTCTCTCCATTCTTAAAATATAACTATAATTTCTTTTTTACTTGTTTTAGTAGCTGTCCTAAAGTTTACTTACCATAGACATGTCTAACTAATCTAATTTTACTTTCAAATAGCACTATGAAACACTTGTAGGACAAGTACCATATGATAAAAAGAAAATCCTAATTCCTTTTTCTAAGTCTTTCTATCATTGTTATCTTTTATTTCCCTTATACATAAGCATATATATACATATATATATATATACACATAAACATACACAATCAAATACATTACTTTCTGTTTTTATGAACAAACTGCTATTTGTTCAGTTAATTAATAACTTAAAAAACAAATTTATGAAAAGTTTACCTTCACTTAGTTTTTTTCCAATGCTCTTTCTTTATGTAGTCCCAAGTTTCTGATATGTATCATATTTCTTCTCTCTGAAGAACTTCTTTTGACTTTTCTGGTATAGCAAGTCTACTGGCCAAAACAAAAAAAAGTCTCAATTCATTTTTATGTATTTCTCCTTCGCTTTCAAGAATAATTTCACAAGGTCAGAATTCTAGATTGGTTTATATTTTTTTAACATGTCACTCTACTCTCTTATTGCTTATATTGTTTCTGAGGAGAGATTGGATGCAATTCTTTTTTTATTTTTTGGGGGGAAGAAGGGAGGGAAGGAGGAAGGGAGGAAGGCAGGAAGGGAGGGAGGGAGGGAGAAAGAAAGGGATGAAGGAAGGAAGGGAGGGAGGGAGGGAGGGAAAGGAGGAAGGGAAGGGAATGAAGGAAATCAAGCAATGAGAGAGACATTGCCAACCTGGATCTAGAGGTTTATAAGTTGATTTTTTTTCTTTTTTTTTTTTGAGAGAAGTAAAGAAAGAAAAAAAAATGAGTAAAGGAGAGGAAGAAAGAGGAAGAGAAAGAGGGAAGGTGAATGGAAATATTGCTTTATTCTGAAAAAAGAATGGGTATTAATAATGGCCAATGAATGTTTCATTTAAACCTATGAGTAGGTGTGATGTGGTATTGACAAGAATGTATATTTTGTGTATTTGAAGTGGAGAGCTCTATAAATATTTATTAAGTTTACTTATTCCGGATCTGAGTTAGAGTCCTTGATATCCTTATTAATTTTCTGTCTCATTGAGTCTAAGTCTCTATGTATCTGGGTGTTAGGATCGTTAACTCTTGTTGTTGTATTGATCCTTTTACCACTATATCTTTGTTGCTTTAAAATCTATTTTATCCAATATGAGAATTGCAACTCCTGCTTTTTATTTATCTGTTTGTTTGTTTGTTTGTTTGTTTATTTTTGCTCTCCATTTGGTTGATAAATCTTTCTCCATTCCTTTGTTTTGGGTCTTTGTGTATCCTTGCATGTGAAACAGGTCTGGATGTAACATGCCATTGGGTTTTGGCTGTGTCTTTTGATTGGGGGATTTAGTCGATTTAAATTTAGGGTTACTGCCATTTGATGTTAACTGGCTGTTGTATCCATTTGTTGATGTAAATTCTTCTTTATGTTGGTGCCCTTTACTTTTTGGTATATTTTTAGAAAGGCTAATACTGGTTGTTTCTTTCTGTGTGTAATGCTTCTTTCAGAAGCTCTTGTAAAGCAGGCAATTCTTATCTTTGCTCCTACATAGGTAAGATGCTTTTTTCCTTCCTTACTTTTTTTCAGTATTTTTTCTTTATATTTTATTTCCTGAAGTTTAAATATTATTTATGTAGGTGTAGTTTTTTTGTCATTTGTTCAGCTTAATGTTCTCTTCACTTTCTGGATCTGTGGTTTGGCATCTGATATTAATTTGGAAAGATTCTCAATCATTATTGCTTCTATGATTGCTTCTGTTCCTTTTTTTCTTTCTTTTCCTTCTGTTATTAGTATTAAACTTATGTTAAATCTGTAGCAGTTGTCCCACAGCTCTTCAACATTCTGTTCTCATATATTATTTTCTCCAGTCTGTTTTTCTTTGCTTTGTAGAATTGGGAGTTTTTATTGTCATCACCTAAAACTCAGAGATTTTTTTCCCATCAAAGACATGTTTCCATCGAAAGGCATTCTTCGTTTCTGTTGTAACATTTCTTATCTCTAGCATTTTTAATTTTTTTTTTTTTTTTGAATTTGATTTTTTTTTTAATTTTTTATTGGATTATAGGTTTTGGGGTACATGAGCAGAGCATGCAAGACAGTTGCGTAGGTACACACATGGCAGTGTGCTTTGCTTTTCTTCTCCCCTTCACCCACATTTGGCATTTCTCCCCAGGCTATCTTTCCCCACCTCCCCCTCCCACTGGCCCTCCCCTTCTCAGAATTTCTATCTCTATGCTTATATCGTTCATCTCTTCTTTCACATTGTCTACTTTTTCATTAAATCTCCTAGCATATTTATTACAGTTAAAAAAAATGCTGGTCTAATAATTGGTCTGACAATTCCAATAGATTCCTATCACATCTGATTCTGCTCCTGATATTTTATTCAGTTGTTATAAACTGTGTTGTTTTGTCTATTGGTCTGCTTGTATTTTTTTTTTGAAAGGTTAGCATGATGTACTGAGTAAAAGAAATCATGATAAATTTGCTTTTAGTAATGTAGTGAAAGTCATATAGACTCTGTAGTCTTATGATTAAGTTTTAATCTCTTAATAAGCCTGCCTGTGCCTCCGGGCTGTGAAATTCCCAAATGCTTCTTAATTTACCCTCACCCTACTTAATTGGAAGAGAACTGCTAGAGGAGGATGACACTGGGTATCTCCCATCCCCAATGTCAGTGAGGTCCTGACATAACCCCAACAGGTAAGGCTCTGATTAAAAGGGAAAAAAAAATTTCCTGAGGTCATTCCTTGTTAAGAAAAACAGAATGCTCTGACATATTTCACAACGGTTTATTTTACCCTCCTTCATGTCACCAGGACAGAAGTTAAAAGAGGCTCTTAAATTTATGGCATTCATGAAAAGACCTCCATACTACCACCCTGCAAAACTTCCAACCTGATTTTGTGCTGATCATTTTGTTGTTTCCTCTGTAATTATAAAATACTCTGGTCTGTCCTAGATTCTGAAAATCTAACCACCCAGAATCCTATGATCAGAAAGCAATTCTTCTGACTTGGCCATGCATACTCATTCCCTATCCTACTTCTCTCTTTATTTTTCTCAGTAGCATTTATTACTATATGATATTACTCACAAACATTCAAGTTACCTCCCCCTGACTGCACTAGAGTGTAGGTTTTGTGAAGTCAGGAGCTGTGTCACTTTGGTTAGCTGTTGTATACAGGGCCTAGAATAATGCCTGCATATAATAGATTTGCAAATATTTATTGAATAAATGATTCCCTTACAAGTGAAAATGATTTTCAGTCAAAGTGATTCTATGTCTAGAATGTTAGGATGCTTTTGATACTCAATTGCTTTATTTTATTTGATTTATTTTATTTGATATACTAGCAAATGCATTCAGTCAAAATGTCATTATGTAGGTATAATTTATATGACAGCTTTTCACTAATCTTATTATATGTAAATTTATTTGCATTTTCCAAAAATATATGCCCAGTGGTACAGTGTACTCAAACTCTAGGGCACATACACACTCACTAAATTAGGTTTAATAATCTTTTAAATGCTATCTATTAATATAGAAATACTTATTCTATATAACATTTTAAATATTTTAGTAAAATAAAATATTATGGCTAAAAAATAAAGTACTAAAACCTTAAAAACTTGTTATCTCTGATTGGTGCAATTGTGAATTATTGTTATTTTTTCTTTATACTTTTTGATACTTTCAAAATGTTCTACAATGAATATGTAATAATTTTAAAATAAAGATAAATGTTATTTGAAACAATATTTTAGACTTCTAATAGTAAAATTATAAATCACACAGTAAAATTAAAGACAGAAATAATATATAGAAAAATGTATTCTTGCATTTATCTTGATAGATAGAACACAAATGGGAAAGATTTTTGTCACCTCTATACAGATGACTAGTTCTGAAACTGTTTATTTCCCATAATAATTTTAATAATTTTTATATTTTTTGGGTGTTTTGATGTAATATATTTAATTTATGAAATTATTCTTAGGCTTTTTTCTATTCTATATGAATTAAGTAATATTTTCTTAATAAAATTTATTGTTAAACATTTTCAGATTTGCAGAAAATTATGAGGATAGTACAGAGATGTTCCATAAACTGTTATTTAGTTGACCCCATTATTAAGATCTTACATTTGCATAGTACAATTATTACAATTAATAAGCTAATATTTATATACAATTTTTAACTAAATTCTACATTTTATTTAGATTTCCTTAGTTTTTACCCAATATTTTGTTGTTGTTGTTGTTCCAGAACCCCATCTAAGATATCACACTACCTTAGTCATTATGACTCCGTAGGCTGCTCTACACTTTGTCAGCTATCAGCGTTCTCTTGCTTTGATGACCTTGACAGTTTTGAGGACCATGGATTAGGTATTTTGTAAAATGCCTACTGGGATTTGTTTGATATTCTTCTTGTTATCAAATTGAATGTGTTAGTCTATTTTCATACTGTGATAAGTAACTACCTTAGACTGCTTAACTTATGAAAAAAAGGTTTAATTGGCTAACAGTTTTGCAGGCTTAACACGAAGCATGACTGGGTGGCCTCAGAAGAAAGACAGAATAATGGCAGAAGGCAAAGGGAAACAAGGCACATCTTACTTGATGGCAGGATATAGAGAGAGCCATTTTGGGAATTGCCACACACTTTTAAACCATCAGATCTCATGAGAAGTCACTACTATCATGAGAATAGCATGGGAGGAAACTGCCCCCATGATCCAGTCACCTCCTACCAGGTGTCTCCCTGCAAATTCTCCAATGCTCTGCTTCCTCTTAAACATAAGTTCCAATTTCACACCATATCTTTCTTTATGCATATCAATGCACATTTTTAGAAAAAGCCATGTCACATCTTGAACTCTTTGCTGCTTAGACACTTCCTTAACCAGATACCCTAAATCATCTCTCTCAAGTTCAAATTTCTGCAGATCTCTAGGGCAGGCACAAAATGCTACCCATCTCTGTTAAAGCATAGCAAGAGTGACCTTTGCTTTGGTCACCAGTAAGTTTCTCATCTCCATCTGAGACCACCTCAGCCTGCATTGTCTGTATCACTATCAGCATTTTGGTCAAAATCATTCAACAAGTCTTTAGGATGTTCAAAACTTTCCCCTGTCTTCTTCTGAGCTCTCCCAACTATTCCAGCCTCTGCCCAATACCCAGTTCCAAAATCATTTTCACATTTTCAATTATCCTTATAAAAATATCCCACTTCTCTTGGTACCAATGTTCTGTATTAATCCATTTTCACATTGCTATAAAGAACTACTTGAGACTGAGTAATTTTAAATGAAAGAGGTTTAATGACTCACATTTCCATAGACTTCACAGGAGGAATGACTGAGGGGCCACAGGAAAC